CCATTTCGCGAAAAAAATCACAAATTGGATGACCTGTAGATAAATGTATATATTTACATGTGAAACTTACTTTTTACAAAATTCCTAGCAATAACGTTAAAGTTATAACGATTTTTGGTTTTGACAGGTTTCTAGTTTTTTTAAATTATTTAAGAACTGCTGATTTTTTTCAATTTTTAAATGCCATTTTAAAAATCGTGTAATTTCCCAACTTTTCTTTAATTTAACCATTCTTGTAGCTATAGCTAAAAAAAGATAATCATATTTAAAGGGATCATTGGTGCACCCTGTATACATATTGTATTATTTTAAGAAAATAGAAAGAACTTTACTTTAAAATGAGAGATGGATAACCACAATTATTTATACTCAAATGTCTTGGTGGGACATTTTTATGTGGATAATAGTAGGTATTTTTAAACATGCATTTTGCATCTTAATAAAGAACATTTGTTAAAACAATGAAACGGTTTTGTCAAATAAAATTTGGTTTTAACAAAGTATTGGATAGCTATTGACAATTTTTTTAGCAATATTTTATCAAAAAAAATTGTTTTTAGGAAGATTCTTTGTATTTTTTTTAACCCTGTGCTACTTTTTCACCATTATTTTTTTAAATATGAAATAAACGGCAAGAGTGTTTATCTAGTCCTTACTTCATTTTGTTTTCTTTGTGGTGCATGTTAAAAAGAAAACTATTAAAAAGTGCTTCAAAGCAATTCACAGTTGTACGGATGTAGATGGTATGAAGATTATAAATTAAGTATTTTTAGAAATCTAGTTTTTTTAATGTTTACTTTTATCGATAATAATATTATCTATAAGAACAGGGTTAGTTTTGATAATTAAAACTCCAATATTCCCTTTGTTTTTATTATAAAAATATGTAAATAATATAAAGTTTGCTTCTTATCAAAAAGTCCCACTTTGACATAAGGAATGCAATAAAATAATTAATAAATAATAATAAAATAATTATTTTCTAAAAATATAACAATACGTTTATTTTTGTGTTATAAATTAAGAGTGTTTGATAAAAACGAGTGCCTAAAGAAGTTTATAAAACGAAATAAATATATACCACGCCAACTTTGCGTTTTTTCAAAATTTAAAAACAATTTTTATTTGACATTTTATCTGACATCTGGCAACCTCACTTTTTCCCAATTTGGTGAATAAAAATAAGATTTCTTAACATGACTTTGTAGATTTTTATTTTTTTTTGGAAAATTTTAACTTAATTTTTTATAGCCAGGGTTTTTAATTATTTTAAAAAAATAAAATATTTTACCGAAAGTTTTTTATAGGTAATATGCGATTTTGTAAGCAATTTGTTAATTTCAAAGGTTACAGATTATTTTGTAAATGTTTAACAAATTATTTCATTGAAAAAGTACACGTAATTTCAGGCAGTCAATCAAAACGTTTCCCACTAACAATACGTATCAACAAGTTCAACTGATTTCAGCGTCTGTAACTTATGTCTCTGCTTACTTTATTCTAATTCGTAACGTGTTCGTAACAAACTGCGAAGTGTGAAGTATCCGAAAAAAAAATGCCATCACTGGTTTTCAAACTGAAATTACAAAATACATAAGTAAGTGTTTTAGTAGTACTGATAATTATATTATAATTTGATGAGTTCAGAATTGTTATTTAATTGTGTGTATGTTATTTTTGTGATTATTTATGTAGGTATTTGTTATTTTTTTTGTTTCGGAAATTAATTAATAAAGCAACATTTTTTATCAAATTTTTTTTTATTTAAAATACTTTTGTCACTAGGTCTTCAAAATAGTTTGTAGAAAATAAGGTCCTTTTTAAAAATTAAAAGAATTATGGTTGAAATATTGACATGGTATTTTGTTATAATTACGAACTACTTATTTAATTAGTTAACAGATTACAGTTGGTTGTAAACTTAACCTAAAGTTATGTGGACCTGTATTAACATTAAATGTGGTTAATATTTGGTTAAAATTAACAAATATTCTTTTACTGTGTACTATAGTATACTAAACATTTTTATTAAATATTTACTATTCAAAATATACAAACTACATGTACTTAGCTTAAAATTCAGTTATTTAATTAGAATTTTAAATTAACTAAATTAAAAAATTCTTTATGAAGAATATTAAACATTTTACGACATTTATTTCTTCCTATTGGCCAACAAGATATAAAATATATTTACCACCTGTGATATTAAAATAAATAGTCGCTGATTAAGGGTTGCATCCCGAATAATTCAACAATATTTAAATAACTATTACATTTACGACCAAATCACAATTGAGTTTAATATTCCAGTCGTAAAAATCCACATTACCAACCTATAAAAACGCTATAAACCCACAGTATAACTCTTCCTGATATTTCTAATAGTTAATAACTCTGCTCGATTTGCAAAAAAAGCTATAAAATTACACCCGAATTAATAAACTTTTTACGACTCTCTTTCATCTCAGATCTGCGTGCAACATTTCATTTGCATAACATCTAGAGTTGCAGGCAAAAAAATCCGTTAGCATTTGGGTATTGTCTTAAAAGGTTCATACGGCGCCCAGGTAGGTTCTTCAAAAACCGGAACCTTTTAAAACATATCGACCCCATTCCGGAACGGGCCACTGTATCGTAAATAAATACCGGGCCATTGTTATGAAATTCACAGGTCGGGATTTCTATTGTGAGCAGCGTGTATGGGTATCTCATCTGCTGTGATTTAGGAGCAATGCCACCAAAATCTGCTCATGTGGGGACACTGCATGAATATGGATAAGAAGGTTATTTATTGAATTTTCTAATCAAACCTGTTTGAAGTCGTTCAAGCTTGAAAATTATTTCCGATAAACTTTTCAATGGAAGAACAATAGCTAGTTTTTTTGCGGTAGTAGGTAAAAGGCAAACATGAATGAGGGTAGCAAAAAACTTTGCTTAAAATGGAATAAAAGTCATAAATTATGCCTAAAAAAATAATAAATTAAATATTATACCAAAGGAAATCTGAAATGTCCCAATTAATAAATGGGGGTCGCGTACAGAAATATGGGGGTCTCAATTTGTCAAAAAAAACATATATATAAGGCTTAGTTGTTTAAAATAATAATTTAATGCCAAGGTCTATTTTGTTTTTATTTAAAAGTTCTTCTAGTCGTCAATCAATATTACCTAATTATATATAAATGTTTTGTTTTAAAAGCCACCATAGACGAGAAGTTTGAGTAAGAAGTAGCGAAGTGTCTATTTAAAAAGGAGGAACTAAAAAAGATATCAAAAATTTCTCAGAAACGTTTCTAGGATATGTGGGGGGAATCATTATGACCACAAAAATGACCTTGGGCTGTAGTCACCCCAACTCATTTTTTTAATGGCAACACCCCTTTGTGATACCTTATTGAAAAGCTCTTAAAAATTGCTATTTAACAGTACTAAAAAAATACTTTTAGAAGTTTAGTATAAAAAAGGAAGAACACAAATTATTTCTAACAAAAGTATAATAAACTAAAAAAGCATACTCTCTAAAAATGAATTACTACAGTTATTAGTGACTGCTTTTTCACTTATACCATGGTTAACCATGGAATACCATGGTATCCCAACATTTAACAGCCAATTCTTATGTAAAATGGTCCCCTGAATCCGAAAATACCGTCAAAAATTATGAAAGCAGAGCAGTTTTTATATGGAAAATTGACTATATCTCAAAAACTGTTTTACTTTTCTTTTTACTTTTGACGATATTTTGTTTAATCGCTGCTTTTTCGCTATGACAATTCATTTTAAGAGAGTAAATAAACAAATTTTTCAACAATAATCAAAATACTTTTTTAAATTAAATGCAAAAAATGACATTATTATTTTGTAAGCAATAATACAGTCTATTCTCAGATTCACTTCAAATATTACGAAATGTTTGTCGTGGAATAGCTCGGCATTTTTAAACTATTCGTTGTCGCCTGAAAAATGTCAAGTAAAAATTCTTGACATAATTTTTGACATAGTTTATTTAAAGCTTTATTCATGATTTTTTAAGTTATTCCCAAAGGTAACTATTAAACAATATATATCTAAAAACTAGTACCTAGATAGAATAACTCATATATATGAAGGTACTGTAGTATACTGCCCTGAAGCTAACCCACCGTATCCACAATATTATTTATGATTTTTATTCTTTTTTCAAGGGATAAATTTTGATTTAAACAGAAAAATTTAAGATTTTAACGCCGGTAGATTCCCAAGTTGGAAATTCCAACAGGTATTTCAATAAATAGGTACAACTTTTCCATGTAAGAATTTTTAATGCTTTGTGATATTTTGCAATTATAGTAATAAAAAAAGGATAAAATATTTTTTTAACATTATCATTTTTTGAAGTTATTTTAAAATTTTAAAGTATCAATAATGGTAAAAATTACGTCAAAAATGTTTATTGGGATGGATACTTTATTTTCGTATATATGTCGCTTTATACAAATATATAATTTAAATCATTTTTTCGATAAGTATTTTTCGTAGAAAAAGTATGGGATAAAACTGGTTTATAAACTTTTCTATGCACTCATTTAATTAAGCACTCGGTCGCAAGCTCGCTCGTGCCTAAAACTTGATACATAATATACCATTATACTTACTTTTGTAATATACCAGTTCTTACTTGTGGTAATTTGTTTTTTTTATTTTTCTTATAGGAGTAAAAATAAGTTAAGTAAAAGGCAAAAATAGGATTATTAAACTTTTTTATTAAAAAAGTATAAAATATATGACTAAAGGCACATCCAGCTTATAAGCCTGGCAGAGGTGTCAACATGACTAGACATGACTAAATATAAATAATAATAATAATAATAAATTATGTAGTTAATTTCCCTAAAATCTACTATACAATATTATATACATCAGTCTTCTAAAAGGCACTATATACAAACAATTTTTGGAATGGTTTTTGATTAGTCTCGAAATATAACAATTTAAAATTTAGATAAAAATAATGATTTTTACATCATCATAGCAGTGCATCCATTGCAGCCAGTTTCTGTGTGTTTGGTGAGTAGAGAAACTCTGGAGAAACTTTTGCTGCATTTCGTGCAAGAATATTTCTTGACTTCTGAATGTGTTTGAAGGTGGGCCCTCAAGTTGGATCTATCGGCGAATGCTCTGTTGCAAAAGTTGCAGGAGAACGGTTTCTCTCCGGTGTGGGTGCGGATGTGTCCTTGCAACAACCATGGCCTGGAGAAGGCCTTGCCGCAGATGGTGCATTTGCATGGTAGTGTGTGGGTTCTGATGTGCATTTTCAAGGCACCCATGGAGGTGTACAACTTTTCGCAGTAATTACAGTTGAATGTTTTCTTTGGGGCTTCGCCGGCGGAGCAGTGGAACTGACGGTGTTTGGTCAAACCGGAATGGGTTGAGTAGACTTTGCTGCAATCCGGGCACTCGTGTCGTATGCCCGGTTTGACTTCTTGCTTAATGGCATGGTGATGATGGTGATGTTCCACGTTGGCGTACACATTTGGACGTAGAGCGAGAGGTTGTAGCGGTGTAGGGCGGATTGGTGAAGTTTGTGCTGGGTAGTGCGGTAGGTATTCCTGCTGGTGGTATGGGTACATGAAGTGGTATCCTTGTGGGTACACTGGGGCTACACTTCTGTGCCATGTTTCTGGTGAGTATTCAGGGTAAACTTCGGGTTTTATTGGAGCTTGATAGTAATTCACTGGTGATGGTGTCGATCTAGCTGGTGAGTGGTGTGGCGATGACGTTTCTAGAGATTGTGGTGAAGCTGGCGATGAGTCTGGGATTGACGAAGGTGATAGACGATCGGTTCTACTTAAATCTTCCGGTTTAGTGCTAAGATTTTCTGGTTCGTCGACAGTTTCGTCGTAAAAGAAAACTGGCCTCTTTTTCAGAGGACAGTTAGCGTAGTTCTTCATGGTATAGAAAGGCATTGTAATCCAAAAAGTAAAGTCACAAAATTTTCACAAGTCTTTAAAATAATTCACAGGTAAACACGACCGAGTATAACACACTGGTTGGTGGCAGTAGTGAACGATGAGAACGATGGTTAGATTATGATTGGGGTGTCGAAAGCTGTTGTATTTATAAGGCAAACCCCACCCGTTTTAAACAGGGTCGAGAGGTAGTTTTGGCTTGTGGAGCCACCCCTACCACTTACCGTACCTACACACCATCCCAAAATATCTCGACAGATTACTTGTGGTAATTACGATACTTTAGTTTCATGATACGACCTGTGATTTACACCGTTTTAAGAAGATACGACATTTTGAAAACCGAACGTTTTTGATAATTAAAATTAATTTTACTTTAACATTAATTTATTATTATTTACCTAAAATTCTAAAACTAGTTATATATGTATATTTTTTTAAATATTTATATGTTTGCTTGACCTGTCCTTTAAATATACTTTTTTATTTTTTTGGACCAATAAAATTATTATTATTAATTAAGTTACATTTTTTAAAATTAATATTATTTTATTTAAAATATTTTACTTTAACATTAATATATGTATATATTTTTTAAATATTTATGTTTGCTGTACTTTTGTATATCTTTTGGATCAAATTTTATTATTATTTAAGTTACAATTTTCAACATAAAATTTAGCATCTATCAAAAAGTAAATTTTTTTAAAAGTATAAACTAAAAAATAATTATTAAAAATCATTTATTTACTTATTTCTTATTATTTATAAAAAAAATAGTAAACCAAAAAATGTTATTTAAAGTTTTATTTAGTTATTTAAGTACTTAAATACTTAATAATTGCCGATATTAGTCTTGTTATTATGTTATTATGTTTATTTTTAATGGTCAACAAAATAAAACATATTTACCAATATTGACTAAAAGTATTTAAAAACTTCCAAACATATTTTCAAAACAAAACTCAGGTAAAAGGTAATAACTAAAAAGTTCAAAATAAAAATATATTTTAAAGTAATCATGTACTAATTTGTATTTTCAGTTTATTTTTCATGTTCTCAACAACCCCAACAGATGGCGCCAACATTAACATTTTATAGTAAGCGCCGACAACGGCATATTAGCGTTGTAGTTACAGTTACAATGTGAGCTCCATATTTCAAATGTTTATGCATTGTTTTTGGCTGGTTTAGGTTTATTATACCTAAATTCCTTAAATATATTTTTAATAATAATTTTAAAGGATAGTATTTTTTAATAAAAAAAAAGGTAGGTAATTCGTTTAAGCATTTATTTACTTAAAAAAAACTTATTTACTAATAATACATAGATACAAACTGACTATTGACACACTCATTCCCTTAAAACTATGACTAGCTTGGCACACTTATATACTTAATGTAAATTAAACATATGAAATAGAATGAAAATATATACAAATAATATAAATTAAAACTAACAAATAAAAATAATACATATATACGAATTGACTATGGATACACTCACTCCCTTAAAACTATGACTAGCTGGCCACACATCTTAAATTAATTTTAATAAATAAATAAATACAACATAATAACTAAAGTAATCCTTAAAAGTAAATAAGCGTGATACTTTTGAAAACAACAAAATCCTAACCTAAACAATCTCTCTTAACATGCTTTTCTAAAACTGACTTCCTAGAAAATGACTTATTACAACGACTACAAGAATACTTTTTTACTTTTTCATGTGTCTGCATATGGGCGCGTAAATTAGATCGGTCGGCAAAAGCCTTATCGCACTGTTTGCATGAAAAAGGCCTCTCTCCAGTGTGAGTTCTTAAATGTCCTTGCAGGAGCCATGGACGTGAAAATGACTTTTCGCAGAGTTGACACTTGTGTGGTAAAGTATGAGTTTTCACGTGGAGTTTGAGGGCTGATGATGTGTTGTAGATTTTCTCGCAAATTTTGCAGTTGTAGGGTTTTGGTGTGGTTGACTCCAATAGGCAGATTTGTTGGTGTTTTTGAAGTCCTAATGTCGTCGAGTAAGTTTTTCCACATTTTAGGCACATGTGGTAGGATCCAGAGGATTCTTTTAGAAATGATCGATGTAAGGATTCCAGTACGTCGGGGTAAAAGGAAGGGTACTGTATGGGTATGTTAGGTGTTGTTTGTAATTTTTCTGGTGATTGAATTGGTGATAATAGCCTGTGTATAATGTCATGTTTAATGCTCAAGTCTTCGGGTTCATCTGTAAATAAAAAATATTGTTAATCATCACAAACACAATTTTATCATTTCATACCTGATATATTCTCAGATATATTTACTGGTCGTTTTTTCAATCGTTTATGAAAATAACCTTCAGGCATAATACCAACAGGCATCTTGAAATATTTTCGTTTAAATTGTGTTTAAAGTTTATATATCTCATGGGGTTGTTGCCTGATCTGTGTGTAGAATGTGTATGGTACGATACGTGAAGTTCCTCAGGTATATAAAGAATATCCCCCACTAGATCCTAGATCCTTTTTGATTCTTTGCACCTTTCATCTTAAGAAAAATAGGAAGGAAATAAAATAGGATGATATCAGGGAAGCTTAAAATGGGTCAACCCAAAAGAAAATTAATATAAAAATGTTTATCGCAATCTCGATTCAGGTAGGTATGGCATAGAGTTATTTATGCATAATAAAAGTGTGTCCTATACATTTGCATGATTTTTAAGCGCATTCGTATGCATAACTGCTAGTTACTATAAAATATGAAGGCATTCGTAATGAAATTTTACAGGTGTGAATAATTTTGCATACATTTAAATTTCGAGTGGTCCATTGAACAAGAGAATACTCCATTGTTTGCTAATGCATTAAAAATATTATTTGTAATTATTTCGTATTGTTTCTCTATCTGCACGCTTACAGTGTCAGACCACACCTGTGTACCCATAAAATCGATTGGTTTTTGTCAAAAGCATCACTGTTCTGTGAAATATCTTTGCATCTGCTTATGGAATCAATACATCTGCCATTTTTACTTTGATATTTGATATAATAATATTTAACTCAGTCTAAGATGTTTTTTCAATAACAAGTTGATTCAAGTGTTTGTCAATATTTGATGAAATCGAAAGGTGTTCAGTAATTATTTAAATTTTATACACCTGGATCCATAACTTTGTAAAATATGTCTTAAAATATAAATTCGATATATCCATATACCTCGTGTTTAACGGTTTTTATCAATCGAATTGTTCGATTCAACAATGGCTCCCTATACCTGTTCCTTACAATCGGTATATGCAATAAAATTCAGCATTTAACCCAAGGCAGATTTTCAAAATATGTGACATAAAAAGTGCGTATTTATCAGCTGCTGCTAAAGAAAGAATAGGGCTGAGGCCGCCTGTCAAGACTGGATTTTCTAAGATACCCCAAGGTGTTTTGTATAAGGAATGATGGAAACGGTGATGATTTTAAGTTTTAAGTAAAATTTATGTTTGATAAATAATTTTTGGATTTTATATAAGGGGATTAAGTTTTCGACAGGAACTGCATGACTTTGAGATATACTTTTTATTACCTAGTTCCTGAAGTATTATTAGACCAAAATTTAAGAAATTTGTTGTCGAAAACTAAACTCCATTCTTAACAAAATCACCAATGAGGTAAATACAAGATTTTAGATTTCAAGTTTTCAAGCTCAATTGGTTTAATATTTACTTTATTGATATTAAAGAATAATTAACATGATTATAGTTATATGATCTATGTATTATGGTATGCCATTCTGGAGCGAAATAATAGAAATATAGAAGCAAGAAAGAGGTTTATTAACTTTGATTTATTAGTTGTAGCTTTATTATTTTTATCGACTTTTCACTTTTTCCTTGATCTTAAAAATTACTTTTTTATTACTTTTTAATTTTGGCAAAGTTTGTTGAATGGTATGTTTAACTAGATGGCTATCAAATATAAACCTTAAATTAACCATTTTCAACAAAGTAAAAAATATTTTAAAAATTGGCCTTGCTTATTTCCACTCCATCTAAAAACTTGTTTGTTTTCTGTAACCTTGATTATCATTCGTTTGTGTACATCCGCTGAATCGTTCAAAAGCAGATGTATCTTTCCAAAACCACGTCTAGAAGGCGTTTTTAAACACACGTGCGTACACGCGTCTATCAGCGGACACACGTGTGTTAAGCGCAAGGAAGAGGGTGTTCACTAGCCATCCTTCTATAGATTATATTGTTTAAACAACCATATGCAACCGGCATTAATTATGTATGTCCAACTTGCACTAATACGACAGTGGTTCCTCCCTCGGTTCTAGAAAGAACAGGATGCTTTTTAAAAAAGGGTTGCGCAGATTGGAAGACTGCAGAAATACAAAAAATGGGGTACATGGAACATCTTGCAAGATTTGTGCAGATGCGGGGATATGATAAAAAATAATAGGGACTAATTATGTTTTTTATTGAACGAAATCGGTAAGCTTCATGACTCGATCTTCTAGGGATTTGGAGGTTTAAAAGAATTATCGAGTTTTAAAGAGAACAGTTCTTTTAAAATTTAAAAGTTTTAAAGGTTATTTCCGAAATTAAATATTTTTTAAATACTACATGGTACCTACAGGGTATGATTTATTTTAGACCAATCACGATGCTTAAAATTGTGGTTTTATTTTCACATTCACAAATTTGATATAATAACTTGCTCTCAAACACTGAAAATTTTCTCATGCAGCGTTGCCATTGTTTCTAAAAACAAATTTACAAACTGACATAATTATATTAAACAACAAACCAGCAAGACTTGTTATACACTCGCGTGCAAAATAATCGGCCCACACAAATTTTCGATGAATTTCAATCGCAAATAACTTTTTTATTTGATGTCGGATTTAAACGTATATTAAAGAATAGTGTAGTTAAATTAATGGACAATCGCTCACATTTTAAAAAAATACTAAAAAATAGACGTACGTTTATAATATACAGGTGTAAACAAAAATATGTTTTTTACCATAAGTTTAAGGCACTCTGTAGAGTGGCAAAACCGTATATTGTTTTAAATTAAGTTTTATTTATCAAGTCACATCTATTCTTAACAGTTTTGTTTTTGGTTCACCTCGATATATTTATTTTTGTGGAACATATAGATTTTTTTAAAAAACATTGCAACTTCCAATATTTTTCTGTATGAAGAACTAAGGTTGCTATGGTCCATCCATAGGCTATGGAGAATGACAGTGACAGTTTTATTGAATCATCCCATACTTGGACATGTCATACACGGCTTTTAAAAGCTATCAAATTGTTTTTTGCAAATTAATGTTTAATTTTTGAGGTGTCTCCTTACTTTATAAAATGGATATGTCTCCGACTGATGTTGCCAGAGCTATTAATTTAATCCAGGATGGACGGTCACAGTATTACGTGGCAAGTATTTTAAACGTCATAAGAAGTAAAGTACAAAGGGCAATATCAGTCGGGGTCATTTTTAAAAGTAAGAAGACACCTCAAAATTAACACATTCATTTACAAAAAACAATTTGATAGCTTTTGAAAGCTGTATATGACATGTCCAAGTATGGGATGATTCAACAAAACTGTCACTGTCATTCTCCATAGGCTATGGATGGACCATAGCAACCTTAGTTCTTCATACAGGAAAAATATTGGAAATTGCAATGTTTTTTAAAAAAATCCATATTTTCCACAAAAATAAATATATCGAGGTGAACCAAAAACAAAACTGTTAAGAATAGATGTGACTTGATAAATAAAACTTAATTTAAAACAATATACGGTTTTGCCACTCTACAGAGTGTCTTAAACTCATGGTAAAAAAACATCTTTTTGTTTAAACCTGTATATTATAAACGTACGTCTATTTTTAAGTATTTTTTTAAAATGTGAGCGATTGTCCATTAATTTATCTACAATATTCTTTAATATTCGTTTAAATCCGACATCAAATATAAAAGTTATTTGCGATTGAAATTCATCGAAAATTTGTGTGGGCCGATTATTTTGCACGTGAGTGTATTACTAAAATAATAATATTGGCAACGTAGCATTAAATTTGTTTTAAAAGGCGGCAGTAGCATCAGCTGTTATTATAGAAAGTTTTTTTAATTTTCTGTTTGTTCTGTAATTTATTAATGTTATTTAATGCATTAACCTTTGTTAATAATTTGCTACTGAACAACAGGTAAGTCGATTACTTTAAAATCCTTTAACATAACCAAATAAAAATATTTTTAAATTTGTAAACCAACCCTCTGACCTAAAAAATAAATCTGAGCAACATATAGGACGAGGTAAAAAAATAATACTTTTTAATATGGCAAAGAAACATTTCCATAAAGAAAAAAAATTAGAAGGGATAATGACAAAATGCTGATGGTCCAACTTTTAAATATGGTAAAAAATTATAAAAGTAAAATTTCAAAAAAATGAATAATATTAGTAAGTTCCTAATGACTAATTGATGTATTAAAATTTTAATTTTATGACCTGAAAATGTTCAACGTGATGTATTGTTTTTTTATAAAAGTTTTATTAATTGCATTTATATTTTCTAAAAAAAATTAGATATAAAGTTTCCTTTTTCAGTTGGGTAAGTAGGGACCCCAGGGTAGTAGTTACGTAAAATTTTTACAATAGGTATTAATTTTCTTAATATTAGTTAACCCCAATTTAATAATTTGTTAAAATATTATATTAATTAATTTCACTTTATCAATTAAATTAAATATTCCTTAACAAATATGTTACAGTAGTATCCGCTTATAACGACCCGTTTTAAGTGATGTTTATTATTTGCGAAAAAATTAACAAACTATAGTAGGACTTTGGTTCGTAAATACTATACGAGTTGGTAAGTTTTAACCGAAAGTTCGCTTTACGGGGATCGTAATAAGAGAACATATGGTACTTATGTAGGTATATATTATATTAAAAAACGCAATTTTTTAAATTTATGGAAGTATGCTTACACTCAAATAACACATTGATTTTTTCCGTTGATTTACCATTTCATTTTTCTTACATTTTTAATAAAACTTAGTTTATTTGTTGATAACTAAATTTTTGTATTATAAAATCATAAAAATTTGTTAAAACAATAAAATATGTACTATATTCCACATAAAAAATTCCACTGACATTTAAATAAAGTATGCAGTCGAATAATCAATTTAATGTTAATTTCGTTTTATTTTCTCTGAAAATAATACAATAAATGTATTTTTTCTGTGTCTAAAGATCTTAATAATTAATTATTAGTATAGTACATTATTTTTGCATGGTATAACAGTCAGGGTTAATCCATATTTGTTTTAACATAATAATATTCTATCAACGACAACTTACATTTAAATTTACCGCGGTCTCTTTTTGCAGCGACATCTACTCCATTCTTAAATGGAATTGACTAAACTAAACCTGATTAAATTGGTTAAAATTAAATTTTAGACTGTTGTTTCCATACGAACTAATAAAACCGTATATATTTTACTTCAGTCCTATACCCATAAATTCACTGAGTTAGTATCCACTAAGGTTTTAAGGTGTTGAAAATTATTGCCGCATAATTAATGAAGATCATGAAAAATAAC